GGGGGGGGGGGGTCCCACTCGACCTTAGTGGTTTGGGGCCACTGGGCGAGACTCGGGGACAATAGGGTTTGGGAAAAGCCCAGGTCCCTAGTCCGGGGTGGGTGCATCCGCCCTGCCTTCTTATGCGGGCGGAGGCCGAGTGGTAAACGGCTGTCCCAAACTCCCGGTGCGTGTCCCCGCGCGCCGTGTGTTCGTTTTGCAGAGCCAGCCTTTGGGGAGGTGAACCAGCTGGGAGGAGTATTCGTGAACGGGAGGCCGCTGCCCAACGCCATCCGGCTTCGTATCGTGGAACTGGCCCAACTGGGCATCAGACCGTGTGACATCAGCCGCCAGCTACGGGTCTCGCACGGCTGCGTCAGCAAGATTCTGGCGCGCTACAACGAGACAGGCTCGATCTTGCCAGGAGCCATTGGGGGCAGCAAACCCCGAGTTACCACCCCCACCGTGGTGAAACACATCCGGACCTACAAGCAAAGGGACCCTGGCATCTTTGCTTGGGAAATCCGGGACCGCCTGCTGGCGGACGGCGTGTGCGACAAGTACAACGTGCCCTCGGTGAGCTCCATCAGCCGCATCCTGCGCAACAAGATCGGCAACTTGGCTCAACAGGGTCATTACGACTCCTACAAGCAGCACCAGCCGGCGCCGCAGCCGGCTCTGCCCTATAACCACATCTACTCGTACCCCAGCCCCATCACGGCGGCCGCAGCTAAGGTGCCCACGCCGCCCGGGGTGCCAGCCATCCCCGGCTCGGTGGCCATGCCCCGTACCTGGCCCTCCTCCCATTCCGTCACCGATATCCTGGGCATTCGCTCCATCACCGACCAAGGTAAGGGCTCACGGGCCGGATGTGTGGACCTTGCAGAGTCTTCCTCTACACCCTCGCTGGTGTCTCGGTATCTGCGGCCTCCGAGCCCGCGTCTATCCCACCACCTGAGGCTTTTTCCTTTCGAAACTATGGAGTCCTCCCAGGGGGGTGTCCCGATCTCATTAACTTGAAATTCATGCCCTCCGTTTCCTTGCCACACACAGTCTCCTGCCTCATCTCAAACTACCAGACCCATAACATCCCCCCATCCCCAACACATGGTTCGCATTTTCCACCCTCCCCCGCCTCTCTCGCCGCTGCTGCCTCAGACCCGCTCGCTCACTTGGAGAGCGTGGCCCGGGTTGGACTGGGGGCTCAGCCCGGGAGGACTGAGCGGGCGTGGGGCTGCCGGTTGCAGACACCGCTGCGGGCAGCTTGTTTGGGGATCAGATGCGGCCGCGAGGAGTTGGGCACCCTGTGGAAATTGCAGTATTCTTGGATTCTGGCAATCAGGCCAAATTTGCTCAGGCAGGAAGTTCAAATGTCACCTAATTGGTTTCATTCTTATGCTTCACTTCATTTTCCTCGGAAACTGAGGTCCCGAAGTTACTACTAGTAACTTGCATGTTACTGCATTGCTCATTCTGGGACTAATTTTCTGCTTTATTTCTCTCTCTCCCTTTTTTTCCAAGCGCCCCCCACCCTGGCCTTTACCTTAACAGACTTCACTATTTGTATCTTAGGAAGTAGCACCAACCACCGTTGTGATGGAGACAAAATGCGTGGTGATTCCATCTTGTCCTCTCTACTTTCCCCCTTTCCCCACGCCTGCGGCTTCTCTTTAGTGTCTCCTGGTCCCGGGAAATGCCAGTGGATATCTAGTACTTGCACGTTTTCAGCGGTGCCACCCCGCTGTTCTCTTCCTTTCTCACCCTTGACCTTGTGGTGTCCCCAGTGTCTTTTCTGGTTGGTAAGAAGGATTCCCCGAGCACCCCCCCCCCCAGCTCAGTAGGCTTCTGCAGACCAGAGTTTGTTTTCTTTTACTTCATAGTTAAACAAAACAATACAACAACAACAAGAAAAACCAGCATTAGCTTCTTTCTTGGTAGGGGTAAAAAGTCAAAATGTCCTAGATGCAGAATTAAAATAATACAGAGATAAGAGCCTACCTTTTAAATTTGTTGGCCAAAAGTTTAAAAAGCACAGAAGAAAAATTAAATAGGATGGGGGGGGATAGTTCCTTTAATTATTTCTTGTCTTTCTCTGTTGTCACCACATTGGCACAATTATCTTTTTAAGTAATTAAAGCAGAGCCTGATTTCTCATATTCTTGTTTTCTGACTGTCAATTTACAAGATCCTTCTAAGGAGCTCAGTTTTGTCTTATTCGGGGCTGGTTGGAGCTTTAGTTGGAGAGAGTTTGCCCTTGATTTATAGGATAAACTGACCTCAGTGACATTTAAAGGAAGCTCCTGTTCATGGGAAAGTGTGAGATCAGCAGAAATGGGGGCTCACAGGGGGATCTCAATTTCTTAAGATAACTTCAGGCTTGTGCCCACCGATTGCCTTTTGTCTGGGAAGGCAAAGAGAGACTGGCAGTTCTGCGCCAAAACACGGTTTCCTGGTGCAAATTGGAACACAATCTAATCCTTTGGAAAGGAGGAGGAATAGTTAAAAAAAAAAAAAAAAAAAAAAAAAAAAAAAAAAAAGACTGACAGATTTGAAAAGACAACTGTTCTTCCCCAGGGATCCTACAATCAGACCAAATATCAGTTGGAAAAGTAATGGAGTATATGGAGAGGAGCAACTGTTCGTTCTAGATGTTGATTCTGGATGCCAGCTTTAAACATGTTTTCTGACAAATCCATGAACATAAGATGATTATTTCTATAAGTGATCACTTCTACAAAATGATTGCTCCTTCAAAGCACTGTGTCAGATGGAAGTATTTAAAATCAAGTTGTAGTGGCTTTATCAAACTTCAGTTCTCCACCCATAGGTCCCAAAGACAAAAACACATTGCTCATAGTCTTCAAATATCTCTTCTTTAAAACTGTAGTTGGCCGTTCAAAGATGGCAGTGGTTTAATAGGCACACCTTTAGGTATTGTGGTAATCATTTTACAGTGTATAATTTTCTTTGTTTCTCTATTAAGAACATAAAGGATAACTGATGGTTTTACTCCTTTCAAAATACTTAATTCTACCTTCATTTTCTTAACTTTTTATTTCATTAAAAAAAAATCCACCCTCTCTCTATAACCTTACCACTGTCACTGGTGGCATTTACAGGGGTAATTGTAATATTTATTTTCTGAGTCATATGCACATAACCTCACATATTTAACGTGTAGACATAGAGCATCAAGGGTAGTCACACATAAGTTAGGCACACACAAGACAGAAACTATGCATGTATATTTTGCATGTGCATTGTGGCCATCACGTAGTTATTTGCTTGCAAAGGACTTTACAGGTCTTTTGTCTCATCTATCCACCTAAGTACTAGATCCCCACAGCACAGTGAGCATTTTTCTAGATGTCTCTGAGCAGGAGCACAGGCCAAGGACGGTTAGGCCAAGGACGCTCCTCTCTCCCTTTTCAGTCTGCGCCAGTCCCAGTGTTCGTCAATCCCGAGTCAACCCTGGGTTACGATTGGGATGAACAGCTTCACGTGTTCTTTCCCTAATTTGGGAAAACTCCCAGGTTCTTTCCATTCGATTCCTCGGGGGAGCGAGCAGGGCGGGGGGAGGAGAAAATCAAAGGCTTTTGAAAAAGGGAGAAAAAGAAACCTTCCCGCAGGCCTCGGCGAAAGAGCTCGGAGAGGCCTACTCTGAGCGAGTCAGTGTCGCGGGGCCCTGGGCTGAAAGCCGGCGAGGCCGCGCCTGGGACCAGCGCCCCCGGGAGGCCGAGGGCAGGGGTCGGAGCCCTGGAGCTCGCGGGTCGCGGTTTCAGGCCGCGTCTCAGGCCGGGGTGCGCGGGTTGGAGCCCCAGCTTGACGCCTTCTCGTCCTCCCCAGGAGTGAGCGACAGCTCCCCCTACCACAGCCCCAAGGTGGAGGAGTGGAGCAGCCTGGGCCGTAACAACTTCGCCGCCGCCGCCCCCCACGCGGTGAACGGGCTGGAGAAGGGAGCTCTGGAGCAGGAAGCCAAGTACGGTCAGGTGAGAAGGCGAGGGCCCCGCCGGGTGGGCCGCGGTGGCCGCGGGGGTTTGGGCGACGCAGGACCCAGTTCTTTCTGGGCCTCGACCGAGGGCAAGCCCGGGCCGACCGGCGGTCACGGTTGGGTGAGGCGGGACGGAGGCCGGGACCTTGCAGGGCGGAGTTGAGCCACGACCCCCCGCCGCGGGCCCGAGGGCCTGGGGCGGTGGAAGCGCCTCCAGGCCTGTTTCGCCTCTGCAGGCGCGGCCCCCGAAGCCCAATCTGCTGCTCGCACTGGGAATAGTAACCCAAGGAAGGCGCTTCCGAGGGGCCGGGAGAGCGGCCTGGGTTCTCTGAGCGGCGCCGGCGCGGGCTGCCTGCAACGCCCGCGAATAGCACGCCGGGGGTCGGGGCCTGCGGGCTGGTGGGCTGCGGGGTCCCCACGCTCGCGCGTGTCTCGTACGGCGGCTCCCTGCAAACACGCCGGCGTAGCCTGCCCTGTGATCGTTTGGAGAGGGCAACCAGATAAACCTAATAAAGTTACCATTTCCAGATTAAGGGTCACGTTGTAATCTCCCAAGGGAGGTTTGTGAGAAAACCTCAAATTATACGGACTGGCTGTGGACCGTTTAATTTTTCTTTCCCTCTGTCCCTCCCCCGACTCTGCAAAAAGAAAAATTAAAACACTCGTGTTCTCCCGCCCCCCTCCCCCACCCGGAAAAAATTAAGCAACCACCACCACTGACGCCCTAGAGGTTTGAGTCTAAACTCATCACCAAGTTGGAGTCAGGAGTTCAAAGCCCCGAAAAGCAAGCAAGCAAACAAACAAACACGGACCTTAAAGCAGCTTAAGGTTTCATTGAGCGGGTCTGGATAGATTTGCAAGGTTCTTAACGCCAAACTCCAGTTCTGAAGCCCCCAAATACCCAGTTTTCGTTTTATTATTTTGAAGTCCTAAAACTCCTAATGTTTTAGCTGTCAAAAAGCAGCGTTTTATGTGATATGTAACCTGTTGCTTTTATTCACTTGGGAAGAAAAAAAAAATCCTAATTCTCATTTTCTCAAACGCCATTTCCACTTCCTTTTCTCTCTGTTTTGTTAAAAGAGACTCATATACGTATTAGTTCTCCCGTGACAAAGATCCTCGAAAATAGCAAAGAAAGAGTCCCTTTCCCGTATCTGTTTCTACTGTAAAGAATGTCATGGAGAAATTATACGAAAGTTTGTCGTTTTCTTTTTAAAAAGCTCCTTATCATAAAGAAGATGCAGTAGGTACAGCGGTTAGGAGCTCCGATCTTCTGGCACCACTGCCACTTAAGCAAGTGATTTTAGCGCCTCCATTTTTTCATCTGTAAAACGGGGAAATAATAGTCCCAACCTCAAGATTCAATGAGATAATGCAGTCGTAAGGCGCACAGTAAACCTCCATTAAAAGTTGCCAGTGGTTATACATGGCGGTTTAGAGATGGTCTTCCAAAAACAAGCGATTTTGAGGGGTGGGGGTGTGTGAGCATATACTTTGGAGAGTTCATAGTCAAAAAGTGTCAAAGCGTGTTGTTACAAACAATAGAAGGAGTGTATTTAAAGCATCCAGCATAGTAGCTCGCATTTAATAGGTGCTCAGTAGTTTTTATTAGGTCATCATTTGTTGGAATAACACCGTGAAGTATAGAGTTGAAAAATAGTTTTTCTCACATATAGTTGATAAACCCAGTTTACATATAAAGCAATGTCTTAATTCAAAAATCTTTGATTCATTTTTTTCCTCCCTTGAATTATATAGATCTAGTGTTTATACTCATTTAGAAATGGTTAATTTACACACATACTTCAAACAGACCACTTTAAAATAAAAATAGAACTGATTCAAAAAATCTGTATATTCTGAACATGAAAGTTGATTACATTTTATACGCTGATTATTACTGAATTATATTTATAAAAGCAAGTAAATTAAAGACATAAGTGGCTAAATAAGCATTGTTCGAAGTACCTAAGAGAACAAGTTCAATTTTTTTCCAGAAGAAAAAGACATTTATATCAAACTTAAATTTGGAAACTTCTTAATTGCAGGATGCTAATCTTCTGTATTATGTGGTAATATAATTCAGTTGATGTAAAATTTCAAAACTTCAGAAGTTTCTAAGTACAATTAAATCAGTGGTTATTATAATGATCAAAATAGTGCTTAATGATGAAGGTGTGCTAAGTAGGTAGAGAAATTTAGGCTGTGTCATTTTGGGAACAGTTTTGAACTTGGACATTGATTTCCTGGAGGGTAAAATTCTACACTAATACTTGCTCATAAACAAAAAAGCAACGGTAAGGTGTGTTGTGTGTGTGTGTGTGTGTGTGGTGTGTGTGTATGCATTTCCCTCGACAATATTCAAAGAGCAGCTTTATTTTTAAGTTATTTTTCAAAATGTTATCAGTATAAGTGTATTTTAAAAACCAAAATGTAAACTCAGGTAACATTTTTCTATTTGTGTAATGAACAAAATTTGAAAGTTTTTGGCAAAAAATTATCAAAAATTATGCACATAATACTTTCAGGGCACTTATAATTTTTATTAAATAGTGCAATATTATATGACTCAAGTTTCATTTTAGTACATAAAGGAGGAAATTGAGAATTCAGAATCATAGGATTTAGAGCATAGTCTTTTCCCAGAAGACACCTGTAAAATTACTAAAGGGACTGAATTGACAACTGATTGTAGGTACTAGTGATTACCGTAATCTAGAGTTTCTATTTTCAGCTTAAACTACAAGAAAGGATGCCTGATCGCTAGTAATTAGAACCTTATGCACATTTCAGCTATATACACACCTATCTTTTGTTTTTAAACCACTAATTTAGAGTACTCAAACTTGTCTTACTCATTAAGATGAAGTCAATACTTTATATTACCATTTAGAAGTCGTTATTGTCTACCCTTGAGGATAGAAGAAAAAATATTTGTTTTGGCTTTTTTCACCTGCATTTAATATTGGGCTAGAAATCTTTAATCTCTTCTAATTCTGAATGGCAACAATGTTCTCTGGTTCCTAATGGCTGGTTCTGTTCTGTTAAAACAGAAAACCTTTACTGAATGCAGTTGCATGGCAAAAAAAAGGGGGGGGGGCTTTGGAATATATCTGCCCTTTTATATGGTCCTTAGTGAATTAATGCATTTTATTTAAACAGTTTATAAATAGTTGTATAGTTCTTGAAAAATTTTCTACAATTGGGCATACTTTCTCAGAAAAAAATATGTTGTATATCTGGTACTCTAACTGAAGTAATCTGAATGTTAGATTTATAAGCTTTGCGTATCTTCAGTTTTGGTTAGTGTAGGTTAACTCAGACAGCAAGATTAATGTAACATTAGCTACAAATCGAGATGTCAGGAATGAGGAAAAATCCTTACATACTTGAACTTAAAAAGTTAAGAGTTAAACAAGCTGTGAAAATGGTTGGATTTGGAGACATAAATTAATCTGAAATTCTTACGAAGCATTAATTTGTATATTGTATTAGAAATATAGTATTTCAGAATCCTGAATATAACTTTCTAGTACATTATTTTAAACACCGGTTGTCCTTGTAGACATACTGTCCTCATGAAAATATAAATGAAGTTGCACTGGATTTTTCAACATATGAAATAAAGTTAATTTTATGTTAAGTAATTGATAATTTTGCAGAGAATCAAAATGTAGGCAAATGCCAGTAGAAAGTGTTTGAAATTCATGATGTCTATTATGGAAAACATTCCTCAACCTGGGTAGCTTTTAACTATTAGTGTCTTAAAACAAGATTAATGATGTAGCAGTAAAATGTGTCATATAAAATACAAAAAAAAAAAGTAACTTAAATTTTTTTCATGTCTACCTTAATTTTAATATTTTGGAAATATAAAATTTAGGGAAAAATCTTAAATAGCAGCTTTCCATTACCTAGAGACATTTAGATCTGCAATGTGATAACTAAGCATAATTAAGATCTTTTTGGATGAATGTTGAAACCATATTTACAACCATCATTTCATTTTATCAGATTTGTTTTACTAGGTCATTGCATAATGAATTAAGAACGGTAGAACAACAGTCAAACAAAGATTACACCAAGAAGAGCAAGAAAATCTTGTTTATTTTCAGATCTGAAACTTTTTCTTGCTTATGTTATGGAGGCTGAAATTCTAGGTGAAGCACATCTCTATTTGTGGCTAAATCTACTTTACTATAAAGCCAAAGTAAACTCATTTTATAATAAGGGGAGGACCAGGTAGAACTGATGAGTGGATGAAAGATTGTGGGTAGAGGATTGGGCGCTGCTGTTTGCATTTTCTTCAAGGGAGAAAATGTTGAGTAGACAATTCTCAGAATGTGAAGACTACTGTCTATCACTTCTAATTGCCAGACAGTTGTCATACCAGTCTCCCCCCTCCCCCCACTCCCTCCTCCCACCATGGTCAAAAGCATTTGGATCTTAATGCATTTCCATTTTCGGGGGGTGGGGGTGGTGGTGTGTGGATAAATGGAACAACCATAAATCAAATAATGAAATGGCTAGATTAGAACTTTTATTTACTTTTTTCAACAGCTTTATTCATTTTGCTTACTTAATGTATAATGCTTGTTCTGTGGTCAAAAGTGACTTTTTTTTTTTTAAAGCAAGAGTATCAAAAGGCTGCACTAAGGTATACAAATGGTTATGAAACACCTATGATATGGCCCATTTTATGAGGATATGAGATGATTGAGGCAAGCCCTGTTCTCAAACTATTTATAGTCTAGCTCTCTGCCAATATCGCTTCTCAATATACTAATTTAAAAGCATGTTTTTAAAAAATGGCAAATCTATGTTTCTAAAATTTTAGAACAAGTAAAATGAAAACTCATTTTTTTCATTCAAATCTTAACTAGACATTGTATTTTATGTTTTTTTTTTTCTCCCTAGACTATTTTCTTTAATACCGGTGAGATAGAATCTGTGTTTTTTTTTTTTTTTTTTTTTTTTTTTTTTTTTTTTTTTTTTCCTAATAACATTCAACAAACATTCAACTTTTTCTAGGGTATGCTGTTTGGTCTATTTTACTTTGTATTAGTAAATCTCATTGTCAAAATTAGGTGGAAGATCATTTGCTTCAGGGAGATCCTTGTATAGTTCTTTAGAGGAAAGGATTCTCATGGCTTTTATGGAAGATCCACATAAAAAAGCAGTTGATGGATTGAGGTCTTATTTATGGAATCTTTAGGTAAAGTCATTTTCAAAAATGGGATTTCCATTACATGCCCATTGCTGGGGTTTCATTTGGAAAATTTGTTTACTCTTCTCTGGGGATTCCATATGTTGGTTGATTTATAAATCATATTTACAATCCAATTAAATAGAGTAATTTAGCATGTTTGCTCCCACTATATTTATGGTGTACATTTGGTAGTCTCTACTCAGCCTAACTAGCTTTTCAGATTAATTACATGCCCTTCACTGAAAACATTAAACAGATTTGGGAAGTTTAAGTCATGTACTCTTTTACTGGAAAGAATAAACAAACATCAATGCTACCTGTAGTTGTTTTCCTTTGTGGTGGAAAATTTTACTCATTCAGTGATTGCTTCATAAATAACAATTACTTTACCCAGTAGAGATTTATATCTTTTGCCAACATCATATTTCAGAATTAATATGAGAAAATTGATGTGTTTATTGAGTCACTAGAATGAATAGTGAAGGTGGCAGGCACATTTTAAAGTGTGTTTGTCATCTCATCTTGTTTATGCTGCTTTTTCTAAATTTCTAAATCTGAACTTTACAAGTGAGAAGGAAAGTTGAGACAAAACTTTTTCACCCCAAATCTGGGTCATAATTTAACCTGAGGGAAAGCAAAGAGCTATTTTTATACTGTTTAAAGATTTCTGTTTTTTTTTCTTTTCTCTTAAGCAAATACTTCAAAAAATTTTTTTAAATATAATTTGACAACTTGGTTTCCATGCAGCACCCAGTGCTCATCCCAACAAGTGCCCTCCTCAGTGCCCATCACCTACTTTCTCACTTTAGCCTCCTCTTGCCTTTTTTCTAACAAGACGAGGAGATCAAACCTCCCTGAGCTTCCCTTCTTATTCATCCTTTCTGCAGTACAGAGGGACTGCATCACTAAAATGATACTAAATATGTTGTGGATTTTAGAAAACTTTGAAATACTTAAGTCACCAAATTTGTGTTATTAAGTATGGGAAATTGGACAAATATGGAACAAATTAGTAGTGTTTATGCCCAACAAACAAATGTAGTCACAGAATAAGTAAGGCACCTGAAGGTAGCAAAGGCCTAAATCCAGTGTTCTTCCTCCCCTAAATCCCAGGAGCATTATCTGAGATGAGAGTCCACTCCAGCCTGATTTCTCAGGAGGGATGTTTCTGGGAAAAAAGAAATGGGTCTACCTAAGGGGATGGTAGACATTGCAAGACAACAGCTGAAGAGCCCCCAAATAAAGGGGGCACATCACAGAGCAATGGCTCTAAGGGCAAGGATGTAAAGGGAAGATGGTGAAGCAAGTGTTTCAGAGATAACTATAATTCTGGATGATAGAAAAAATGCAAAGAAAAAAGAATGGGTAGGAAAAATTTGGCTGTCATGAAAAATAAAATTTATCAACACATTTTTTGGCTAACTAGAGCACTGTTTCTGTCATGTATAACATTAAGTAGTTTAGCCTTATGTACTTGTAAAATGTTGAGCAAAGGTTTTCACTGTTTTAAAAGTAATTTTAACCTTATTTTATGATCTTGACATGGTAAACAGGATAAAAAATTAATCTAGAATGGAAGAGGCTAATACAAATGCAAATACCTTTCTGTAACTGGATCAGAATGATTCCTTTCAAAACTAATTGGTCATGGGTTATTGGGAAAATCCTACATGAACATGATTGGAACTATAATCTCTATGCAATGCTAGATTTCTTCTACAATTTGATAGCTATCTTCATACTCATCTGCTGAGAGCCTTAGAGTGTGTCTCCTTTGAACCATTCTCTGATAAGCCATCCTCAGAAAGGGGGAAATTGTTTTGTTTTGTTTTTTTCAGAAGCTAAGAAACAGAATGAGGGTCAAACAATGAAAATAGGGTTCTAGAAGAAGAAAGAATCTTTTACAAGATGTTATATCAAAAGATGCTCTAGTTTGAGATTAAATTGTGTTTGTTCTTTAAATGTCCTGGCAAAGCAGGAAAAGATTTGCTACAGAGGATCCTGTGTCAGGCAGGGGTGATAACTTGTTTTAACACATGACCATTGATTTGCCAATTGGCCCAGGGTAAATGGCTAAATTCCTTAATCTACATTCTTGTGTATAAAAAGAGGATAAGGATTTCGTTTATATTTTAAAGTGATGTGCAATGATTTCTTTGTTAAAAATAGAGCACCATCCTATAGGACCCTTGAAATACATTTTAATTTCAATTGAAATCAAATTAAATGAAAGTAATATTGTGTTGTAATCATTATATATTATCTTGCCATTATTATAAACCCAGTAGTTTATAATGAGTTACAATTCACCAATCTTCATTATTCCATAAACGATGTTGGATATTTCTTGGTGCCTGGGACATAGGGCATATTCAAGAAACCTTAGTTTCCTTTCCCCTTCCTCATTTTTCAAAGAACAGGCACTTTGACAAACAGAACAGGATCTGTGTGTTCTAACAGACCAAGTACACAAGGTTAACCCCTCTACTTTTATTCTTATCTTGTCAGAAACCCATGAGCAGTGTTAAATCATACCCATGTGTTTATTCTATCCCATGTATTACTCTAAATGGAGAAAATCATTTTTGAGAGCCCACCATTGCATTGTGATAGATGTGGAAGTGAAAATAACAATCAAATGAATTAGGAAACAATTTCTATGTTGTAATGGAATTAGAAAAAGTATCTAACACAAGTCTGCTCTTTTCTTACCTCTAAGGATTGAATCGGTTTTACTACTAGTAATTATATTATACATTTACTCTCATTAGGAAATATGTTGATGTATGAATTCATTCACATCTCTGCCAGGAAACAAGTTTACTCTTTATTTCTAAATAATGTAGAAATTGAGGGGGGAAAAAGTTACTTGAGATACCAAGTGGTCATGCCAGAATCAGGATAGGAAATTGGGGTGTTTTTATTGTTGTTAATAGTAACAATACCAACAGTAACTTATTGGATGCCAAGAGAACACTGGTTTCTAGACAGAGCTCCTTGCCTGGGCTGCTGCATTTTGTTTGCAAACTAGGATTTTACATTTAAATTCCTTTCAAGAGACTTACCGATGTGGCTTTTAAAAACTCATATCACAGGACCCCAAAACTCTGCAAACCAATATTCCAATTTCAAAACCACACATATGCAGTTCTTTTATATTCCAATAGACAGTTTTCTTGTTGATAAAATAGCTCTGGAAAAAAAATATCCCCAATCTTCATTTAAGAACTCTTATAAGACAACTGCCTGATTTTGCATGTCCTTTGTCCAACAGGCATTTTCAACATGACCTTTTAAAATACGGCCCATGTTTTATTTAACAAAGGTTGTGCTCATTTTGAGAGTCTGGAGTGACAGCCTACACTCCGTGCCCTTCTTTACTGGAAATGAAAGCTACGCCAACCAGGCCCTTCACAAATGCTTCAACAAAAGAGCCAAACAAAACCCAAGTACGGGGAAGGTTGACAAAGGCATCCGGATAGCTGAACAGCTTCTGAGAGTATTTAATCACCATTAATTCTTTCCTCACCCTGTATTTCCTTCCTATAATTCCAAATAGCAAAGCAAGTACTATGAATTTTCTTGTTGTAGCCTCCTCAAAGCCTTTGTGGAAAGAATGATATCCTGTTTTTTGGGCCTTATGTTTAAGCAGCAAGACTGTGAATGCATTTAGAATATAAAGATCAGATCTAAAAAAATCAGAAATTAGAGTCAGAATATTGCTTCTACGCGAGGAACTTACATTCTGCCTCTTTCTGCAAACCCGTGAAATGTCAACTACTACAATGTAATTATTTTCACCTCTTCTCTCTTCCTACTCTTAGGCACCAAATGGTCTACCAGCTGTAAGCAGTTTTGTGTCAGCGTCCAGCATGGCTCCTTATCCGACCCCGGCCCAAGTGTCGCCTTACATGACCTACAGCGCCGCTCCTTCCGGTTATGTGGCTGGACATGGGTGGCAACATGCCAGCGGCACCCCACTTTCCCCCCACAACTGTGACATTCCCGCATCGCTGGCGTTCAAGGGAATGCAGGCAGCCAGAGAAGGTAGTCACTCTGTCACGGCTTCTGCACTCTGATGGGAAATTCTGTCCGCGGCAGCCTCACCCGGGTCTCCCCTCAGCACGCCCTCCCCCTCTCCCCTGGTCTCGGATCCCACCCCTCCCGCCCCCAAAGCTGGCTTTAAGGACTCACATCCTTTGTGCCGATGACACTTAAATATTTCTTGCCATAACTTCTCTCTTGCAGAAACCTGACATGACTTTAGGATTTGAAAACAAAAGCAATCTTAAGGATTGAATGAGACATTTGTGTTGCCCACACACTGTTTTAACGTAGCAAAGAAACCTGCACCCCTCAAAGGGCTTAAGGAACTTTTAAAACTAGTCTTTGGTAAAACCACATGTGTATATTTATTCTAAATCAACCTGAACTTTTGAAACGTGCAATTGTTGAGATTTTGCAAAATCAATAAAGGAAAACACATACAGAAAAAAGTTACGCTGCACCCTCTAATCAAATAAGGTGACCAAGTAAGTTTAAATTCATCATTAGGAAACTAATCAATAATTGACTTGAGTGATGCTTTATTTTTAAGAGATAACGTATTTTGTTGGAAAATATGTATAACAAGCCGTATCTGAATTTAGCTCCTCCTGATGTTTTTACTCGGTTCCAAATACAGTGATGTTTATATTTTCTATTAGTTTGTAAATACGGACTCTGGATGGTGCATTTGTGTTTTCATTCCATGGGATACCCCCCTCCCTCCCACCCCTATCTATTTTTTTCTCTCTTTTTGTAAAGGTGACTTTCTGGCAACGTCTTTGTCTCTGTTTGGTGGTGGGCTCCTGGACCTGGACTTGCCCCAAATTTTGTGTGTGCAGTGAAGGCTTCAACATCTTATGAAGGACATTTTCTTTCTACAGCAGAGGACTCAAAAACAGATTAAACAAGCCAGTCTCCCATTTTGTATCCTAATCAAACAACACACATGCCAAGCATATAAAGACATGAGGGTGGAAAATATCTGAATAAGAAGGCTTTAAAGGAAGTCACTTAGAAACTTAAGTTTAATGTGAAATGCTTTGCAAAGACACTTAAAATGAACTTTATGTTAAGAAAACCACTGTGAAACTAAATTGTACTGTTATTGTTGGCTTACCTGTGTGTTCAGCAATCTCAGCCCAAAATTATGTTGTAATTTAAAGAAAGTGGAAAATTCTGCTCTAGTGAATGTAAAAATGGCTTGCTGTGAAGTTTACATTGTTGTACAGAAGCATGTTTCACATGTAGGTAAACTGGTGGTGGTATTAGAAATACAAATGCTATTTAATTTTTTAAAATTCCCTTTATTCATTTCTGCAGTTAAAGGACCTAGTTTAGCCAGTAAGTCTTTCTAGACCAATTCTGTTTTCACTTTAATGTTAATAGTAGAGCTGTGGGGTGTGTGTGTGTGTGTGTGTGTGTGAGAGAGAGAGTGTGTGTGTGTGAGTGAGGTGTCGTGTTTTAAAACAATTGCTTTTCTTGGGTATAATTCTACATTTTTTCTTTTCTGTTTAGAAAGTTCTTCCTGCTTGGGATATAGGCTTGAAACTACGTTTTAAAAACATTGGTACAATTCATCTATTGGAAAATTAATATATTATGGGGTTTTTTTTTGGCATTCTGTGCAATAACTAAAAGGGCACATCACTAGATAATGGATGTTAAAGATGCATTCGGTTAGGTGATCTTGGTTTCTTCCTCTCTGTGCTGTGCACAGTCCACATGGCAACCCAGTTCCGTCACATCGGTTTCATGGCTTCATTTAAAAAACTCAGATGGCTAGAGGAACTAGGTTTTCAGATCACTAGCATATAAACAGTAAGCAGATTTCTGACACACAAGTTACATTCAAAGAACTGCTTTTTTTCCAACTACAGATATCTTAGAGGGCTTTGAACTGCATTTATTTCTAAAGCAACCGAAATTCAGTGCTACAAACAGAGGATTATAACTTCAGGAGAAGAATAAGCAGAAGGAGCAGATGAACTCTCAGGGCCATAGTCTTCCTTTGATCTTGTAAAACTCCTATTGACATCTGGAGTTCCCAGTCTGGTAAGAAAATAGACTATAAACCGAATGGAACAAAGATACCAGTCCAATATTTTGGTGAAGACTTTAAAACCATACTGTACAGGGACTCTCCTGCCATCCAGAAAAACTGACATAAGGTACAGAATTATCCTTTATCAGATATTTTTAGGTGGCTATTAAGAGTCTTTAAAAAACTCAATTGTATGAAACACAATGAAATATTTATCTAAATTAAGAAATCTCTTGTTATTCTATTTATAATTTTTTCTGGTTCTTGTATTTTTAAAAAATCTAATATTAATGATGCCAAGATTTTTTTTTCCTTCTCTTCTTCCCCTCAGGTCTTTTCTTAGCAACAGTGAATTCACATGGAGTAACTTAAAGACAACAGAAAGCTAGAATACAACTTGCTATTCAAAGCAAATTATGATTTAAAGCTACTCTTAAAATTAAGAGAAGGAAAATGGGATGGGGATTGTTTGATTTTTAGACGTTATTATTATTGGCTAATGTTGACTATTTCCTTTGTTTCTTAGGGGGTAAAAGTGTTGTTTTTAAACTGGCAAATGCACTCTTCAGAGGTCCTTTCCCATCCCATTCACAGGGAGAGGTTAAAGGTTCAATTTCATGGCCTCCATGCAGGCAGTACTCTCCCTCACAGGCCGCAATAGCATTACCTGCAAAGGATAGGATGCAGTTGTACGACAGACGCATCTTGTTTTTTT